GCTACCGTAGATCTATCAAAATCGATACTTTTGCGTCTCTGACAAATTATACCACGGCACTCAATCACATATATATTATTTGGATCTAACTCCAATACCATATTTAAACTTTTAAGAAATTCTCTAGGTTGGTTTAGCAATAGTGTATTATTTACAACTAAAAGCGAACTCGAAAATCGACTTAATTTATGATAAATTTCTCCACGAAGAAAAATTTCATGTTCATAATTTATCTTCAAGTTATTGTTTAAATTTTTAACTGATTGTTCATATTGAAGAAAATGCTCATAAATGTCACCACGGTATATGTATGATATTGTATGTCTTTTATCTATATTTGAATGAAAATATATTATTTAATTGTGAACAATTAATGAATATACAAAATAGAAAAACTGAGAATACGTATTACAATTCTTATAAACTAGAAGTTGTAAGTCATAATCTTAAAATATTATTTTAATCAAATTTATTAATTTAATAAATTGACGTCTTTAAATGATTTCTGTAAATGCAAATGTAGAATATATTTACCATCAATATTCGTTGAACTTTGCATATTTATAGAGTTTTTCGGTATTGGTAAATACTTGAATTCAAGATTTTCGCATTTATGATTACTCAGTGAATAAGCATCTGAAAAAAAAATTTTAATTTTTGAGATAGGAAACACATATTTGTCATGATTAATTTTATAAACTTTTGTGTTAAAATAAAGACATAATCCGCATGCGTCTGGTCGTTGTAGTGGATCTGCATCCAAACATTTCCTCATGATATATTCATAATCAGGTGGCACATCAGAAATTTTTGGTGGACGGAGACCATTACAGATGTCTATAGCAAGATGAATGTCGTTTTTGCGATTTCCGTATGGATTATTGCATCTAGTTGCAAGTTGCCACATTATTATCCCTATGCTATATATATTTGATGCTGGTGTACATTTTTTATAATATAGTACTTCTGGAGCAACATAAGGCAAGATTTCGAATACATGATCGACCAGGTTATCTGCAGGTCCATTAAATCCAAAGTCGCTAATAGACCATCTTTTTGAATTGGATAATATATTTCGAGGATGAAGATTTTTATGCACTATGTTACTAAAATGGATATAGTATAGTTCAGTGAATATTTGGCCAAGTATTATATACACTTCTTCCCATCTAAATACATTATTTGATATGAAGGTATTAAGATCCCCATTCTCCATATATTCTAAAATTAACATATATTTTCCATTATCTGGATATTTTGTTAATCCATAGCATTTAACTCCACACGATGCCAAAGTAGGAGATACGGTGCTAGATAATGCCTAATTAATTATATGGACGTTAGATGTTTTTTAATTGATATATTATAATAGCTTTCAATTTTTTATGAATACTACCTCTTCAAAAAATCTAATATTTAGATTGTCTGAATTATTTAGCAACTTTAATACAATTTTTTTTGACCCTAATCTTATAAATTCTTGAGTTTTCTCATTCCAGCCGATAATAAGACCATTAACCCAAGTAGCAGTATAGATTGATCCATATCTACCTCTTGTTTTGTATTCAATATTATTAAAATTTACAAATGGCACCCATTCAAAAAAATGACCTGGTATCGGAAAATTTATCTGCCAAGTTTGAAGCATTCTATCTATTTCTTTATTTTCAGACGTCCAATTGGCAAAATTATTTATTAGATGATCTCTAATGCATTTCGTGCAATATTCTGGCGAGGGCAATCTGCTTTGACACTGTGTGCATATATAGGTAGTAGCACTAACTAGGGGTAGGGGTTTATGGTATATATCAACTGTCCCGTCACCTTCTAAAAGTTCAAGAATTGCTGACAGTGAAACTGAGTCTTTTTCCGTTTTCTTAAGATCAATAGAAGCCATTATCCTTTCGTAGAAGATACTTTAGTAACTACAGTATATTGAAATTTGAAAGCAGAAATTAATTTTCTACTTTAGGCGATCTCCGAATTTACTTTATCGTGAATTCATTTATGTAATGTTTGCTCCTATGACCCAGGTCATGCATTTCAAATTTGGATCAATCATTGTTTAGTGCGTACGTACGTACGTACGACCATAACGTCACGAAAATGGTAGCCGGTGTTACGTTGAAATTCAATAATGTATATCACCTGACTTACATGAAGTAGCCCGAATCCTCAAATCCGAAACGTATGTAGCTATTTCCGAAAACAATGTATTGTGTCCGAAGGATTCATAAAAGGCACAAGTTTAATTAGTAATTGTGACGGCTGATGCTGAATTTAATTAATCTGATTGGTTAGGGTTAGGGTGATCTGCAAAATTTAGCCAATAAGATTTTTTAGATTCAACATCAGCCAAAGTCAGCATCAGCCGTGACAGTAATTACCGTTTGTTACAGCATAGCGGGCTTTTATTGTGATTGGCTGATTTTTGAAGATCATCTTATCATAATAAAGTCTTATTAAAGTAAC